AGGATGAAAGCAATTCGACTTTCAGAGTGAAACGAACCCGGCGAGTCTGCAAAAGATGCATCGAAACATGCGTAGTTGATCAATGCATACGAGGCCAAGAAGAAATTCGATATTATCGGCGCAATTGCGTTCAGTTCACCTCAAAACAAATTTATTCTCAAACTCAACGCAAGAAATATCGCCGACAGAACGAATATCGCAAGTTTCGAGGAGATTATTTACAATAAAACTAAACACTGACCAATCAGAATCATGATCATTGCAATCCCGAACGCAAGTGCATAAGCTCTTCTGGGCTCTTCGTCTTTACCGTATCCCTTCGCGAAAACGCCAATCTTTGGGAAAAGTCTATCCTTGCATACTGCCTTAAGTTCACCCGCTTACCTTACCACAACGACAACATCAATTTTCACCAACAACAAAAAAAATTTGCAAACAATTTACTTATAGAATACACAAACGCACTTTCGATAATGCGCATTCAATGCAAAAAACAAACATCGAACTTTATCGTTGAAANAGTGTTGCCGCAAAAATACCCGCAGTTATCAATGGCCCCCATAAACTCTCCATTTCCATTATCTGTATGATAATATATCAGCCAATTTACGAAGCACTGCTACTCAACACAAAAGCTACATTCAAAACCTCAGTCAGCTGCGAAACTATTTTTGAGAACTTCTCTCATGTAGCCAACAAATTCTGCGCTGAAAAATTTGTTCTCATATGCATCGTACAGTTCCATTGAATTTCTAAACTTTTCCTACACTCACAAATCCCTTTAAGCATTTCCCCGGCATGCATTTCAATGATTTCACGCACTCAAAAAGTATTTGCTCATTGAATATGAAATTGTGCACTTTTTGTTTTGAAATGGTTGCTTCATAAATTTGCTAAGAACCCTTCAAATAATAATAGTAACATTATTAAATCACATTCTAGGTGAACCATCAAAATAAACATAAATTACGGAAACATGGTCAAAACTGCAACTGACATGGTAATTTTTCATTAAACCATATAAACAGTTGTTCTTTCTAGTTGTTGCATTATGCGTTAAACAGTCCNGCAACTGACATGGTAATTTTTCATTAAACCATATAAACAATTGTTCTTTCTAGTTGTTGCATTATGCGTTAAACAGTCCGGTATTAGGTGAGTACCGTTCACTACAACAGGTAACACCAATCCGTCAGCATATCGAACACACGTTGATCCTGTCATCCAGATCACCATCAAGTATATGACCGTTGTCACACCTATAGCCAAAAGAGTACCTTTCGGTATCGCCTTCTGAAATCATGATAAGATGCTATACTGGCAATAAACATGACCATGGATCTGAAGAAATACGGTCATCTGACAGATGGAATTATGGATGGGGAATGCGGCTTCCCCGAACGGAATTCTTCAGCGCCAGAAAACCGTCATCGAAGACCCATGATCCTGTTATTGGAAGGAATGTTAATCACATCCGTTTTGAAAGCTACGGTAAAGCACGATCATAGGAAACATAAAATTTTTAACATCGCTCCAAATTTTTTAAATGAAAATTGCTGAAGGCGTTTAAGTTTATTGTGAAGAGAATAGAAGTCGTACCTGCGGATCTAGCAGATCGCCACTAATATTCGCTCCAGCCATGATGCCAGTAGCGGCTGGAAAGTAGACGGAAAACACCGAGAAGAATGTTTCACCCTCAAAGTTCGGCTTGAAATTTTCACTCATCGTTACAACTGAAAATGAATTTCGTGTAAACTGCACTCAGTGAAAATGTCAAACGATTGAACTCATAATGATAAAAATGAGATACTGCAGCTAGCCGGTTGAACAGCTGCATGTCAACGAAACAAATTGATGCACACAACTCACAGCTGTATCCAGTCAAGCCAAGACGTCGGCGATCATGTGGGATCGGCACGAATGATCCAATCATATAATCGAGAATCGATAGTGCCAAGATCGCGAGAAGACCGATTTGCATTTTACTCTCGAACTGTGTACCAATGAAGATGATGCCCATTAACAGTGTACATGTTACTGTAAATATGCACTAACACTAACAACGATCGAATTCAATTCAAATTATCCACCAAAGCGAAATTCACAGCAGCACCGTATAGTAATACCACAAAAAGTCAACTCACTCATTCCAATAATCCTCACATCGTTCATTTCACCGTCAACGATTACTATGCCATTATCTTTCAGTAAATCCCTGACTGTCTCGGAAAAACCAACAACGTACATAGCTGCACCGACGGCATTCGCTACCGAAAATATCAAGCCAATGGATCCGCCGAATTCAGGTCCTAACGAGCGACTTATCTGAATTATCGAATATCACTGCAAATAATCAACNTGGATCCGCCGAATTCAGGTCCTAACGAGCGACTTATCTGAATTATCGAATATCACTGCAAATAATCAACGACAACAATCCATTCCCCTATGCTAACATCAAACGAAACATTGATTGACTCGTTTTTGTTTCAATGAAACATCAACGAATTCCATGCTAAAACATTTTCATCGAATGACAGTTTGTTTCATGATTTCATATCGAGCAGCAAGCTGACTGCAAGATTCCCGTATCTTCCGCAGAATTTTCGCATGTTTAACTGTTCAATGAAATAAGTCAGTGATGTAGATATGAGGAGATGCCTATGATCAAACAGGCGATTTTTTGGTGAAATAAAAGAGGCGTACAGCCATGTTGAGTGGCGATTGCTAAGGATTAAATCGAATGGAACAAATTGAGAATAGACCTGCAAATATTAAAGGAATAAACTCACCAGAAAGTATGCACCACCTCCCTTAACGTCTCCATTCGTACAAATTGCACACGTCGATAAGGCTGTGATCGTTGTGACCAATGAAGCTAATAATACAATTACACAGCCCAACCCTGCAATGGACGATAACTGCACTGCTGACCCCAAGAAACAATTGATACCATTGCACTGACATCGCAAAATGTTTTTTCAACGTAATCGTTTCGGAATTTGCATTACTCTTGAATGCTCACAGTTATACCCACCAAAAAATTGGTGTTTCTTTCAAATATTTCCTCGTAGTATGCGACTGAACTGTCAGATGCTAACATCCATGATCCTATCTCACTTCATCCTCATATTAGCAACACAAAAAGCCGCAATGCAACCGTGCAATCTAATGCCGCAGTCTCAAAAAAAAATCCGACACAGTGGTTACGGTCAACGTTATGAAGCAATTAAATTAATCTTCATTAGAGCAAAATTCCATTGGTTGAATAAAAATTTAGAAATAATCTGGTTTATTAGTTCGAGAGAACTCCCATAAATTAGCAATTCTTGGTTGGTACGAAAAACGAGATTAATAATGATCAATTAGAGTGTAAATGGGAAGCCATTAATTAAGGCTTCCGTGGAACTCTTCCGATAATTGCAATA